ATTCAAGAAGACCTTGATCGAATCAATGCCTGGGCAAATGTAAATGGATTAAAGTTAAATGCTGCCAAAACTCAGGCCATTGTCATTGGTTCCAAGCCCCTCATTAGATCCCATACTGACTTTCCCATATTACACCTTAATGACCAGCCAATTTCCTTCTACTCCTCAGTTAAAAATTTAGGATTTTTCATAGATCAAACCCTCTCCTGGACCTACCATATTTCTCACATTTCCCGTCGGACAATTTCTACCCTTAAACTATTTCATCGCTTCCGCCATCTCCTACCTCAACATATCCGTAGACTCCTAATTTCCTCTCTCATCTTCCCCCACTTTGACTACAGCTGTGTGGTGTATGATGGCCTCTCGGTGGAGCTCCGTGATAGACTGAAAAGATTAATGAATAGCTGCGTAAGATTTGTTATTGGTGCCCCGAGGTACTCCCATGTCTCCCACCACTACACTGAGTTAAGGTGGCTCTTCCCCTCCTTCCGAAGACAATACTTTCTAGGTACGTTCCTCTACCAAATCATCAACAACCATCGTCCTTCTTACGCCTACAACCTTCTCCAGTTCAAATCCTCAGTCCATTCCCTGTCCACAAGATCTCGACCTTCTGACCTTTACATGCCTTCTCACAGATCTGCCTCATTCCAAAATTCCTTTATTGTTCGCTCTGTCAATTTCTGGAATTCCCTCCCTATCAAAATTCGACATTCCCCCTCCATATCCACATTCAAATCCCTCCTATTCCAATTTCAATCACAAAAACAGTCAGATACTTGCTAACCATTCGAGCGGATTTCAATAGAGAATTTGATACATTTTTATTTTTTAATTCTTTATTTTTTTCGGAAAAGTGTATACTGGTCTATAAGAGCAAATAGCTTTAAGTTTCTTGTCATAGTATTAATGGTTTTGTATATAGTTTAGTTTCTTTTGTATATAGAATTTTTACCTTATATTTTTTTCACATTATTTCTTTTTTTGTATTTATTTTATTTTGTCCAGATGTAATATTTTAATTTGTTCTATTTTGTTATTCTCAAGGGACTGTGTCCCAGAATAAAGTTATTTTTCTATCTATCTATCTATCTACAGTCCACCGCAATCGTAAAAAAAAACCTTCTCCTTTCTGGTCACTCTTGCAACAGCGTATTGCTCTCCAAACCGATCCATATATATCCAATGCCCAATTCAGTTCTGTCCTCGACTCCTTAGGACATTACTTCTTATTTTGTGCAGACTCAAATGCCAAGCACCAACAATGGGGTTCCAGAACCACGAATTCTCATGGCCGAACACTGCTGTCTGTACTCAATTCCCAACGCTTTCACCTCTTTTCCCCGAACTCTCCTACCTACTGGCCCACAGATCATAACCGTAATCCTGATATCCTTGATTTCTTTATCCACAGCGGCTTAGGTCCCTTCAATTATTCCATTACACATCTAAATGAACTTTTCTCTGACCATAGTCCTCTAATTCTTAATGTTTCGCTTGAACCCGTTCCCAAACCTTCTCTACCGTAATTTATCAGGGCTCAGTTAACTGAGATCTTTTTTGCCAAACCCTCTCCGATAAAATTGATCTCAACATATCCCTAAAAACTCCCGATGACCATGATAGTGCCGCCAATTCCTTTACTACCACAATCCAACAACCTGCGTGGCTGTCTTCTTTCCAAAATACTCCCAAAGAATTCCTAAAAAGACCATTCGACCCCCAACACCTCCTTGACCTAATCCGCATCAAACGCCGTACCAGATTATTGTGGCAACGTACTCGACATCCTACCGACCGCTGCTCCTATTATTATTACTGAAAAAAATTAAAACTGAAATTAACCACCTTCAGATCACAATCCTTTAACTCCTACCTATCCTCCCTCTCTTCTCGCGGCAATTCCCTTTGGAAAACTACTACAAAAATCCTAAACCCCCACCAAATTTCCCATTCCCTCCGACGAGATGACGGCTCCTTTGCAGGGTCTGACGAAGATGAAGCCGAAGAGTTCGCCATTCACCTATCCAATACATTTATTTCACATCCGGAATCCCATCAAGCCCACACTGTAGCAGTAGAAGAACTCCTTACATCACCAATCCCACTTTCCTTGTCCCCTAAAGCAATTCATCCTTCTGAAGTGAAATTTCAATTACGAAAACTAATCCCCCGTAAAGCTCCTCGGGATATGATCTTCTTACCTCACAGATCCTTCGACAACTTCCATCCAAAGCACTCTTACTCCTTACATATATCTAAAATTGCATCCAACGCCCCACCCACTTTACTCTGTTATTGAAACACTTCACCCAAAACAGGCAAACCTCCCAATAGCTCAACATCCTATAGACCAATTAACCTACTCCACACTGTAGTTCCATCCAGCTTCCTTTCTCAGAAACATGAAGATCTTGGTTTTCATTTAGACCGAAGACTAATATGGAACCCACATACTAGACTCAAAAGACAAGAACTCACCCGACGATACGGCCAGCTATACAGACTACTAAACAGAAAATCTAAACTTTCTATTGAAAACAAATTACTTATCTTCAAGAAAATCCTGAAACCTATATGGACACACAGACTTGAACTGTGGGGGACAGCAAAATTTTCTAACATCAAACGCATCCAATCCTTTCAATCTAAAGTCCTTCGAACAATATTCGATGCTCCATTCTATGTAACTAACAAAACCCTACATCATGACCTTAATATCCCATTTGTCCTAGACCCTATTCCAGAAAAAGTCTCCAAATTTCACTAGAACTTTACCAATCATCCAAATCCCCTTGCACAATCAATATCCAGCACCACCCATCCTTATAATCCTGCTCGAAGATTGAAGTGGCAGTGGCCCTGTGAATAAGCATTTATTGGAGTTTTGGCGATGGCCAGATTCTCCACTCAAGCCAAATATGTGTGATTATAGCGCCTCTCCTCAGCCTCTGCTGATCCTTAATACCAGTAATGCGGCTGAGTGCGAGTCGCTTGTGATTTCCTAGAGTCCTGTCTTTCCTTCTACGTGTCGGGAAAAAGGCTTGGCTGGCTCGGAGTTGACAACTGTGAATGTGTTTTCTGAACACTAGTATAAATGTCCTTGATTGTGACAGATTGTAATATTTCTGAATAAATAAATAAAAAAAAGTTTGTTCAAAGCACGTATCTCCGAAATAGACCTGGACAGAATTTATTTGAAAAGTATTCCCGGACTAAATCCCTAAATAAACCTCGATAGTTATTTCCGAAATAATTTATTTCATGAAATAACCTGACCATTATTTCCGAAATGATTATTTCGGGAATAAATTATTTCAGGAATAACGATATCTGAAATGATTATTTCAGGAATAATGTGAAATCTGAAATAATCATTCCGATCGACTTTTAGATATAATCAATATCCGGGTCGACTGTTATGTTTTCGGGGTAGCTTATTATGAAAAATACTGTCGAATTTGAGATTGCGCCACCCCCTCCCCGCCCCCCATCGACTTTTTGTAACTTTTCAGATATAATCAATATCCGGGTCGACTGTTATGTTTTCGGGGTAGCTTATTATGAAAATACTGTCGAATTTGAGATTGCGATACCCCCTCCCCACCCCCCATCGACTTTTTGTATCTTTTCAGATTTAATCGATACCAGGATCGACTACCATGTTTTCGGGGTAGCTAATTAAGAAAATACGGTAGAATTTGAAAAAGATATCCCAAAAACATAAAAGACTACCCTGATATCGATTACATCGGAAAAGTCAAGAAAGTCGATTGGGGGGGAGGGAGAGGCGCAATCTCAAATTCGACCGAATTTTCGTAATAAGCTACCCCGAAAACATAATAGTCGACCCTGATATCGATTATATCCGAAAAGTTACAAAAAGTCGATGGGGTGGGGAGGGGGGGCGCAATCTCAAATTCGACAGTATTTTCATAAAAAGCGCCCCGAAAACATAAAAGTCGACCCTGATATCGATTATATCTGAAAAGTTACAAAAAGTCGATGGGGGTGGGGAGGGGGTGGTGCAATATCAAATTCGACAGTATTTTCATAAAAAGCGCCCCCGAAAACATAATAGTCGACCCTGATATCGATTATATCAGAAAAGTTACAAAAAGTCGATGTGGAGGGTGGGAGGGGGGGCGCAATCTCAAATTCGACATTATTTTTATAACTAGTGCCCCCGAAGACATAATATTCGACCCTGATATCGATTATTTCAGAAAAGTTACAAAAAGTTGATGTGAGAGGGTGGGAGGGGGCGCAATAACAAATTCGACCGTATTTTCATAAAAAGCGCCCCCGAAAACATAATAGTCGACCCTGATATGGATTAAATCCGAAAAGTTACAAAAAGTCGATGCTGAGGGTGGGGGGGGGGGCGCAATCTCAAATTCGACAGTTTTCATAAAAAGATACCCCGAAAACATGGTGCATATTGGTAATTTTTTTATGTTATTTCAGAACAATGTTATTTCTGAAATATTTATTTCTTGATTTTATGCAATAATTTATTTATGAAATAAATAATTCTGAAATAATAGTTATGAAATAATTTATTTCAGAAATAATGCATTTCGAAATAATTTACATTATTCCAAAGAATGTTAAAATAGTGAAATAATTATTTATCAGACCCCCTTACCGTACACTCTCAAATACACTACACTACCATATTCTTATAAATTTCATATCGTTGTGTTCTATGCAACTAATTATTTTAAAAAACCCAATGGTCTCACAAAAAAAGTAAACGCACTACCCCAAAATGGCGTCCAACATGGAAGATTTTTTTCTAAATTACAAGGCCGTCAGCTTATACAAGTACTTAGTTATTCCTTGTATGAACTCAAAAGTTTAATACGTATGTATCATCATTTCATGTTCATGTTAATTCCTCCAAATTTAGGATTACTAACATAAATACTAATTTATATTTATATTACAACTTTATTTTCATTTATTAATTCATTCTTTTAAATATTTTTTTTTAGTAAAGAAAACATTAATAGGACTTATCACCCGACTGGCAAATACAGAAATGCAACGACGCCAAATTCATCCGTCGGTATAAAGAAAAGGATAGCATTGCAAAAGAGTCATTACAGTGCAGATTTGAAGAACACAAAAAAAAAGAGAAAGAAAACAAACGTATTTTCTCAGAAATGTTCACGTCCATCACCAATTAACAAGGAAATAGAGGAGATTGAAAATTCCATTTGTCTCTTAACAAAGAAATTAGAAGATCGGAGAAGAAATAGTGATTCAAATACACCTTCAGATAATTATAGATCTGAACAAATATTTCCTGAATTGTACTCTTCGGCATCATCAAGTAATTATAAATTGAAGAATAATCATAAAGATTTTAGTAAAAGAAAATCGGGTATGAAAACCATGGAAGTCAGATCTTCGTATATCCAAAGATGCAGTTACGAACAAGAACGTTCAAGACTAAAGAGTAATTCGGAGCCAATTAAAACATTGAATACGGCTAACGTAACCGGTACGTTATCAGTACCCAATAAAAAATCTTTCCAAAATGGAATAAGTTCCAGGAAAATGAAAAAGATGCACGATAGGTTAGATCGAGTAAGGGAATTTATAAGAAGTATAAATGCAATGGAAATAAGAACATTCAGCGATGGGATAAATCATAAAGATAGTCCACAAAAGAAAAACAGCTCCAATGATCCGTCTGAAGGAACAGATATGGCAGGGAACGACCATTACAGGACTATACAACAAATTGTAAAAAGCAGGAGGATTTTTAACAGAAATAGAGTGTTTGCGTCAAGACCTCCCTTGCTAGAAACTGTCATTGAAGAACCTGAAAAGGTATTTGAGAATAATATAAGTGCACATTCTGTTTCTCCACTACCGAGAGTAGGGAAGCATTTTATTCGTGCGAGAGATTAAAACAATTTTTGTGTTCAGAATCTTCACTCGCGTTTTACGTTTCAGACATCAAGGAGCAAATTTGATTCGGTGTCTGTCTCTCTGTCTGTGGTCAAATCGATGTAACGGGCATATCATCTACTACCATTTATCCGATTTTCATGAAATTTTCAGAGATTGTGCGGGTTGGTGTCTAGATGGTCCCATATCAATTTTATTAAATTCTCACCAGCACTTCCGCTTACGCGGACGTATTTTTGTAGATATGCCAATATTTCAGAAACGGCTAGTTTGATTTGGCTCAAAGTTGGAAAAAGGTAGGTATTGGTAGGTATTTGTGAAAAAATAATGTAGGGTCAATTTTATTGAATTCTGTCCATTGCTTTCTCTTATATATGCGCAAACGTGTTTTCCTTGATACGTCTATATCTCTAAAACCGCAAGTTCGATTTGGCTCAAATTTGGAGGGAATTTAGGGATTGGTAAACATAAAATGTAATAGGCATCAATTTTATCAAATTCTATCTACTACTCCAAAAAAAAAAAAAAAAATACTCCCGCTTTTAGATTAGGAAATGTGTTATTTGACATGCCTATAGTTTGAAAACGGTGCATTCGATTTGACCCAATCTTAGAGAAAATTTGGATAACAGTATAGAAATTACTTAGTATCAATTTCATTGAATTCCATTACATAATTATAATTAATATAAATAATTGTTATCAATATAATGGCTGTGAAATGTTGAAGACACTGACCGTATGGAGTGGGAATTAGGTTATTACAATATTGTTATGGGGTTATAAAATTTTAGGTTTTATTAAAAAAAATTAATTGATACTGTATTGTTTGGTCGATAAAGACCTTAATGTTCCAAATTTCACTCATTTAGCCCGAGCCAGATACATATCTTTTCATGATAAACTCCTGAGTCCCATCCGAATACACTTGTTTCCATCCTTCTTCCGTGATTACTGATAATCCTCCTAGGCGTCTGAAAAGAAGGTGGCCTCGTGATCTTACCTTAAATTATTTAGGGAATGCTACAACTGGGTAGTATCTCTTCATGTCAGTTCATGTCATTATTTATAATTTGTACATATTTACTGGTTGTATTTGTACAAATTAGTTGTAATTTTCCTTAAATAAACAACAAAATAAATATATAAAAATATACATGCTAATAATTTAATATGGAAACAGTTTATTGTTTCTAATTAAATAAGATTTTATTTTCAGGAAGAAGAAGAAGCAAAATTGTATGAAATGTTATGATTTAAAAATTGAAAACATTTGTATATAAGATTTATTGTTTGGCGATTAATAAGTGCCATAATTATTAAAAATCTATTTTAGTTTTCTTTAAAACATACAAAGGTGCAATCCAAGTAACTTAATATATATATTTTCTCATCCATTAAAATTTGTATTTTATATTAAGTTAAATATACAATTAATATATAATTAAAACAATTGCCAAATATGGCTAAATATTTGGAGGTTTCCCATCATAATTTTTATATCTTGGGGCATAGCCGGACACTATAAATTGGGTAGCTTTTATTGGAAAGAAACTTGATGCTCGATCGCGTGTGGTTTTGGCCAAATCATCATGTACAACCGTTGGTCAAAAATAGTAACTGTTCAGTCGTGGAACTTAACTAGCCGTAATGAAGAACTGTAAATCCCACTTCTCTTTTCTTTTTCCCTAACTACAAGTATCTCTTTTATATGTCTGCTGCTACATATGTTCTACCTTTATGAAACATTTGCTCGGTAGTTTTATGTGTAAATTGATTGTATCATGTTTAATACCGTAAAGCGGACGTCATATGATGTTCTGATTTACTTATCTGGTCAGCCAGAGAATAATTATTCCATCCTATTATACTGTTCGTCTTGCCTATTATTTTTTCTGGAAATTCGCTTTTCTGATTTCTCTTGTCATATTATTATAAAACAGAGAATTATTATTGTTAAAAAAGTGGTTCATACCTTTATTGTGGTTATTTGATTTTTTATAATCCGTTTGAACAAGTCTGCTTTTATAAAAATATCGATTATCGAAAATCTAATTAACAAGATATAATAACTTTTCCAACCTTATTTCGATGGTCCTCTCCTCAGCTAATCTACGTGCCGTCGTACAGTGACCCCTTCGTCAGTCTCAACGATGTGCATGAGCTCTCCGATATTTCTCTTCACAGCCCATCGGGTCCACTCTCTCAGTCGATCTTTTTAAATCCTTGCCATTACAGGATCGCCTATTTCAAACCTCTTCACCCCCCTAAATTATCCTCCTCAACATTCGACTCATATCTGGCCTCCCTTGGTTTTCGCAGATCCATTATTGTATTTAATGTTTTTCCGAACACTAGTTTGGCTGATGACCTTAGGATTGTGGAATGAGGTCTTCTTCTGAATGCCTTAAGCAATTCATTTAATCATTCATTATCTAATTTAAGAAATTCACTGAGCTTTTCAGGTTCCTCCATGATTTTCTTCAGTGACCTCTTAAGAGTTTGCACATGGTATGTATGTATGTCCATTTGACGACGGATGGTAATGAGCAATTGTTCGGTGTAAGATCGCATTGCTTTGCAAAAATTTCTTGAAGTCTCCAGATGTAAAACTGGTCCCATTGACACTTACCAATATTGATGGAAGTCCAAACTGGACAAAAGTTTCTTGTCAAAGATCAATAATGATTATTAATATGCCTCACTGGGCATACCTCCAACAACTTGGAAAATGGAGGGCAAACTCAAATTGCCGATCTTGGTCAATGGTGAATCTGTGAGGAAAACCAAAACGGGCAATCCAGATCTCAAAGAATGCAACGGTCTCCGCAGTCATGCCAGGTAAGGGTGTGGATTCAAGCCGGCGTGTGAAGCGGTCCACCATTGTGATACAATATGCTATCGCTTTAGATGAGGTCAATGTGGACATAATCATCGTCCGCAGCCAAAAAAGACTACAGGAGGAGCCTCAGTATGGAGTATGATCATGGAGTATTGGCAAGGAACGCATACTCGTACCCAGTTTATTTAGTGATCTCGCACTAGATGTGAAGATTAACCAATCCTCTTTGCTTCTGATGGTCTAATGCTAGACCAAGTCAGCTCTTATATCTGGCAATATTTATGAGTCCATCGTCCTGTTAAAATTAAAAGTACTGCAGCTCCATCTTTTTTTGACTATGCCTCGCAGCTAAAGCGACTGGAGGCGCAGATCGAGTCTCTAGTTAAACAGGTAGCTCAACTTCAGGTTAGAGAGCGCAGCAAAGTAGTCAGCTACAACAATCACACTCCCGTCCCCGTAACCAGAACTACTATTTCTACCACTATCGGTTCGGTGATCGGTCTAGGAAATGCACAAACCCCTCCTCTTACAAAGCAGCATAAGCCGGTGAAAACTAGATACATTGCTAGAGATGGCGAAATCCAGCACTGCGTCAACTCATACGCACCGCTTATTCATACCACCGCGTATCCAGCCTCATCCTCATGATAGACACTGGTGCAGCTCGTTTTGGTTCTGCCTCGTCAAAGTTTCAAGCTTCTTTCTGGCGACTTCTGTCTCTATGCGGCATATGGTTCTCGCCTTACAACTTTCAGTGTGAGAACTATTGACCTAGACCTAGGTGTGCGGAATAAGTCTTGGGCTTTCATGGTAGCTGAGTTACCAAAGGCTATAATCGGAGCAGATTTCTCGTCTCACGTTCATCTCCTAGTTGGCTTGAAGGGTCAGCGGCTAATAGACACTTCGAGTGGCCAGCTTCTGCGAGTAAATTCTCCATCAATCCCCGCTGTTCCTAGTAATATACAATTCAGTCCTGTCCTCGTAGAATTCTATCGAGTCACAAATCCAAAACATCAACATCAACGAAACATTTGTTGAGAATCTGTAACCCATGCACACGATCCTGCACTACATTGAGACTACAGATCCTCCAGTGGTGTCCAAAGTTCGACGCTTGTCTTTTGAGCGTTACCAGGCAGCCATGAAGCAGTTTCGTCCTCTAATTTAAAACGGGATTATCAGACAGTAAAATAATTCATGGGCATCGCCTTTGCACATCGTTCCCAAGAAGGATGGAACCATCAGGCCTTTTGGAAACTATAGTTCACTGAATGAGCGTACCATTGCAGACCACTACGGTATTGGCTTTACTGTCAACCGAGACAAATGTCATTTATTGCTCCACTCAACTAATCCATCTACATCTGGATCGTCTCCGTCTCCGCCTTCCCGGCGGATGCCAATTCAGAACTCGATTCGGCCATCGCTCTGTCGACATTCGCCTTACATGGCCGTACCAACTTAGCCTTCGCTGTCCAATTCTGGTGTTGACCGACATTTGAACCTCCATCCTCTCCCGAATGACATAATTTCAAAGTTTGTTCATTCTTGTTGTACGTAAGCATCTTCGCCAAAAATTCCTCCGCTCCTCGCGTATTGTTTGATTCTCGGGCCTTTGTGGGGTGGTAACAATTAGCCTAAGGATAGAATTATGGAAGCTCTGTAGATTCGTAAGCTTAGATTTATATAGGTATCGCAGGAGAGGGACCCCGTGGAGCAATGTAGGTCTTATTACAGTAGAGATGGGCAGTACTCGATTACTTTCATGATTTGAGTAATTTTATTAGGAAAAAGTATCGAGTAGTTTCTGTACTCGGCCTGGCAGCGGCGAGTACTGAGAGTACTCACGCTGCGTCAATCATGATTTAGTTAAGTACAGAAAATACTCGCGCTGTTATATCCAATTACAGAAAATACTCAGCCCTATTTCTACAAAGAGTACTTTTTATTTTTCAACTACTCCGTCATTATTATAAAGAGTAAAAATGTTTTCTTTTATTTCCTTCAATAATAGCAGCCATATTCGACCTGACCAACCCCGAGCCCCCATTAATCGATATTAGACTGACCATCATGTCTTGGGGGGCCCTTTTTATAAAAATATATTGTCGGATTTTAGATAGTGCCCCCGGGCATCGAATTTTCATAACTTTTCCCACTAAATCGATATCAGGGTCGATTATTACGTTTTGGGGGGCGCTTTTTATGAAAATGATATCGAATGTGAGATTGGGCCCCCTGGGCCCCGACTTTTTTTAACTTTTTGAATTAAATCGATATCAGGGTCGACTATTATGTTTTGGGGGGCGCTTTTTATGAAAATGATATCGAATTTGAAAATGGGCCCCCCGGGCCCCGACTTTTTTTAACTTTTTGAATTAAATCGATATCAGGGTCGACTATTATGTTTTGGGGGCGCTTTTTATGAAAATGATATCGAATTTGAGATTGGGCCCCCGGGCCCCGACTTTTTTTAACTTTTTGGATTAAATCGATATCAGGGTCGACTATTAGGTTTTGGGGGCGCTTTTTATGAAAATGATATCGAATTTGAGATTGGGCCCCCCGGGCCCCGACTTTTTTTAACTTTTTGGATTAAATCGATATCAGGGTCGACTATTAGGTTTTAGGGGGTGCTTTTTATGAAAATGATATCGAATTTGAGATTGGGCCCCCCGGGCCCGACTTTTTTTAACTTTTTGGATTAAATCGATATCAGGGTCGACTATTAGGTTTTAGAGGGTGCTTTTTATGAAAATGATATCGAATTTGGGATTGGGCCCCTCGGGCCTCGACTTTTTTAAACTTTTTGAATTAAATCGATATCAGGGTCGACTATTAGGTTTTGGGGATGCTTTTTATGAAAATGATATCGAATTTGAGATTGGGCCCCCGGGCCCGACTTTTTTAAACTTTTTGAATTAAATCGATATCAGGGTCGACTATTAGGTTTTGGGGGTGCTTTTTATGAAAATGATAGTCGAATTTGAGATTGGGCACCCAGGGCCGATTTTAACTTTTTGGAATTAATCGATATCAGAGCCGTCTATTATGTTTTAGGGGACGGATTTTATAAAAAAAATCCGACATCATTTTCATAAAAAGTGTCCCCCAAAACCTCATAATCAAAATTGATATCGATTAAATCCGAAAGGTTACAAAAAGTCGGGCCCCGGGGCACTATCTCAAAATGTATGAAAATGATTCGTAATCTGATATCATTTTCATAAAAAGCGTCCCCTAAAATATAATAGTTGACCTAAACTATAGTCGACCCTGATATCGATTTAATCCAAAAAGTTAAAAAAAGTCGGGCCCGGGGGGCCCAATCTCAAATTCGATATCATTTTCATAAAAAGCGCCCCCAAAACCTAATAGTCGACCCTGATATCGATTTAATCCAAAAAGTTAAAAAAAGTCGGGGCCCGGGGGCCCAATCTCAAATTCGATATCATTTTCATAAAAAGCACCCCTAAAACCTAATAGTCGACCCTGATATCGATTTAATCCAAAAAGTTAAAAAAAGTCGGGGCCCGGGGGGCCCAATCTCAAATTCGATAT